AGCAGAAAGGAAATAATGATATGAAGAGAAATTATAAATTGAAAACAGGATAGTAAGCAACAAGTCAAAAGCTAGTTCTCTGAAAAGTCTAATGAAATGGTAGCCCTCTGGCAAGACTGATTTTTTTCCAAGTAGCAGAAGGAACAAACAATATGTAAAGGAGCTGATAAACTACTATACTATCTCCTTAAATCTGTGGTAAGCAATCTGAGGTGTGGGCCAAATGCTAAACATTTTTATTGTAAAAGAACTAGTCAAATATCTTACCCTGTAAAATGTAGATCAATAATATTAATCTCAATATTTTCATGGAAAGACTTAGGCTTTTAAATACTTTTCAGCTTTTAAATATGACAAGTTTTAATATTTCTAAGAATAACACTTAGGTCAGTTATCAGACTGTCAAGTACCCAGTCAACACAAAGTAATCTGAATGAAAGATGTAAAAAACCTGTATTTTTGTTACTGCTTCCCAAATATTACTGTTTTAGTAGATAAAAAGTTATTTCAATTTTCTCAGTGATAACCTTCTATTCAATAGTGTAAGTAATATTTTAAGAATGTTGTTACATTTCTATCTATGCGACTTAATAAAGGTGTTTTCATTTTGAGTGAAAAAGAACCATTCAGCCGTGTGCAGTGGCTCACTCCTGTAATCCCAGCACTTTGAGGGGCTGAGGTGGGCAAATCACCTGAGGTCGGGAGTTCAGGATTAGCGTGGCCAACATGGCGACACCCAGTCTCTACTAAAAATACAAAAATTAGCCAGGCCTGGTGGTGCATGCCTGTAGTCCCAGCTGCTCAGGAGGCTGAGGCAGGAGAATCACTTGAACCTGGGAGGCAGTGGTTGGCTGGGCTAGCAAAGTGAGACTCTGTCTCAAAAAAAGAAAAAAAAAAATTAATATTGTTATTTTTCATGAGTTGATCCTCTAAAGAGGTTATTTACCTACCACTCTAGTTTATTAATATTAATTTGGTTTATTAAAAGAATAGCAGGACTGTATCAGTATCTCATTCACCTCTTTGCCTGCAGGCCTCAACTTGATCTACATGCAAGTAACCTTTTCAGAAAGAAGTTACTAACTTTTGTTTGACCACCTTAGACAAATCACTTAAACCTCTGTGGATCAAGGTTTTCCCAACTCTTAACTTTTTGTTTGAGACCAAAATGATTGCCTATAATATTTATCAACTATAAAGTAAGGGTACCTATAAGCAGCATGATACCAGCCTAAACCTGTTTGGACTTTACATTAATTTTTATTTATTTATTTTTTTTGAGATGGAGTCTCATTCTGTCACGCAGGCTGGAGTGCAGTGGTGTAATCTCGGCTCACTGCAACCTCTGCCTCCCAGGTTCAAGTGATTGTCCTGTCTCAGCCTCCCAAGTAGCTGGGATTATAGGCACATACTGCCGTGCCCGGGTAATTTTTTGTATTTTAGTGGAGACAGGGTTTCACCGTGTTGCCCAGGCTGGTCTCAAACTCCTGAGCTCAGGCAATCCACCCACCTCGGCCTCCCAAAGTGCTAGGATTACAGGCGTGAACCACTGTGCCCAGCCTACATTAGTCTATTAATAAGCATTGCATCATGGTTAAGAGCACAGTCTTCAGCTAAATGTCTGGGTTTCAATCCTCACTCACTAACTTTATGGACTGGGATAAGTAAGTTATGTAACCATTCTGTACTTCTATTTTCTCATCTGTAAAATGGGAACAAGAGTGACTGTGTCAGAGTTGTGCAAGTTAATTAGAGATCATATGTAACATATTTAAAGCAATGCCTGGCCCTAGTTAATACCATGTAAGTGTTAGCCATTGTCATCACTATTGATTGTGCTTCCAAGTGTTAACAATTTGTTGAAAGCTATCTTCACTGGTTAGGGAAAGAGCTCCCTGGAGCCTTACCAAAAAGCTCAAATACAATTCTGAATCTCGTTCAGATTCAGTGATGGTACATTTGTCACCACTGTTTTGTGAAACTGCACTTGAAGAGAGTCAAATACACAAGTGTTTGCTCACTTTTACATATAATCTCACAAGAAAAATACCATATAGATTCCACAGTCCTTTTGTATATATTCATTGTGCTTACTTTTTTTTAATAGAATGGAATGAAATAAAGGAATGTATTAAGTAACTGGAAAACTCATTTACTACTCAATATGTTGTATTACTCAACAGTCTAATAACTGATCTAAGTATTACTCTTAGAAATATTAAAATTCTTCATATTTAACAGCTGAAAATTATTTAAAATCATAAATCCTTCCACGAGAAGACTGAAGTTAATACTATTGATGCATTTTTACAGGGTGAGATATTTGACTAGTTCTCTTATAATAAAAATATTTAAAAAGGCATTGAATACCTAGTGAAAATTCAAATAACATTCTTTACTATTTCTTACCTGACATTTTTTGCTATTAGTGCTGAAATGTGAAAACGAATTACAAGTTAAAGGAGCAAAGTAATTTTAATACTTAATTTTGGAGCCTTACTGAATGCAAACAGCATAGTGCAAAATTCAGGAAATTAGTATTGACCTTTAGGCAAAGATTTTCTGAAATAAAGGTTTAAGGTACATTTGGGTTTTCGTTTGTGGTTTTCCACAAAACATTCATTTTCAGCTTAACTTTTTTCAGAGACAGATTTTAATTTATTACTCCAAAACTCTCTAAAATCACAAAATATTGTTATTCTTTTCCCCTTACATTCTTTACTACGTTTTTAACCATATTAATTTATTCCGTTTGAAACAAGGATACTGACTTGTCAAATAAGGCGTAGTTTAACAAGAGAAATAACTAGTGCTTTAACAAAATTTCTAAATTATAACTTTTTTCTCCTTTTGCCATTAGAGACTATTTTGGGGTAACATGATAGGTTTTTGTTGTTGTTGTTATTGTTTTTGAGGAAGACATAGGTTCAAAGTAACAATGAGAGGAGTTATTATTAATCGACTTCTGAACAAGTGGACTCAATGAAATTGAGTTTCTTTTGACTCTTTTTTATTAGTGGTCAACAGTTTGGGTTATTCATTCATTTGCTTGTTTATTCATTCAATAAACATCAAAAGCCAGTATATGCAAGGCACTGAAAATCTTAACTGTACTAATATGTATCCTCAAATACTTGCTAATTATGTATCAGATGTGTTTAAAGTACTTGGTGTATATGGTAGTATAAAGTACTCTAGAACAAACAACTAAATAGCTCATAAAACAATTATCTGCTTAACCATTGATAAGTACAAACATTATGTTCTACAAGAGCTATAAAATCAAACAAACTTACATTTCAACCCAGTGAGCATATGAAGGATTATGACTTAGTTACATCCTATGTCTTCACGTGTGCCTTTGTCAATTTGTGAGACTTGTAAAAGTTTAGATAAGCTGTGACCTTGGATAACTAGATGGCATTTTAAATGGAATGTAACCATTTATTTATTTTATTGTTATCTTTTTTTTTTGATTTTTTTTTTTGCTCTTTTTTTCAGGCCGGAGTGCAGTGGCGCAATCTCAGCTCACTGCAAGCTCTGCCTCCCAGGTTCATGCCATTCTCCTGCCTCACCCTCCACCCGCCACTGCGCCCGGCTAATTTTTTGTGTTTTTAGTAGAGACAGGGTTTCACCGAGTTAGCCAGGATGGTCTCGATCTCCTGATGTTGTGATCCACCTGCCTTGGCCTCCCAAAGTGCTGGGATTACAGGCGTGAGCCACTGCGCCCAGCCTGTTATCTTAAATAAATAATGAATGATATACTTAGATCTTTCTAAGGATTTACTAAATAAATACACATTTAAAGATTCAGGTCCTCAAAAAATTTAAATAAAATTACCATATGACCCAGCAATCCCACTACTGGGTGTATATTCAAAGGATATTAAATCAGTATGTCAAAGAAATATCTGGATTCCCATGTTCATTGCACCATTATTCACAATAGCTAAGATACTAAATCAACCTAAGTGCCCATGAACAGATGAATGGATAAGGAAAATATGGTATGTATACTCAATGGAATGCTCTTAACCTTTAAAAAGAGGGAAATCCTGCCACTTGGGACAACATGAATGAACCTGGAGGATATTATGTTAAGGGAAGTAAGCCAGGCATAGAAAGACAAATATCACATGATCTCACTTATAAGTGGGATCTAAAAAAGTCAAAATCACAGAACAGAAAATAGAGTGGTGGTTACCAGGGTCTGCTGGTCGGGAGGGCTGAGTGATTGGGAACATGTTGACCAAATGATAAAAAATTTCAGCTAGACAGGAGGAACAAGTTCAATTATTGTATAATTGACTATAATTGATAGCAACATATTATACAGTTGAAAATTGCTAAGAAAGTAGACTTTCAGTGTTCATACCACAAAAAAATGGTAAGTATGTAAGGTAATAGATATGTTAACTAGTTTGGTTTAGCCATTTTACAATATATACATATTTCAGAACACGTTATACACTATAAATATTTAGTGTCAATTTAAAAATAAAATTAAAAGGTACTTTTACCCCTAAAATCAAATTTATTTTACAATGATACTATGAGGAACTTAACTATTTTCTGACTATCAGTATCACCAATCCCTTGTTGTTAACTTGAGAAAAAAAATAGAGGTGGAATAATGCAAACTGGAAGCCTTAATATAATATCATTGATTAAAATCTTTGATGAAAGTATCCTTTATCTAATAAAGTTTACTAATGCATTTTAACCTAATTATGGAATCATATTGGATTTCTCTTTAATATACCAACCTTCAATGGAAATTTTATTCAAAAGATTATTTTTTCTTATGTGGTATTGTGAATAAGAAATTAGGCAAATAGGAAATGGAAAAAAAAAAAACAAAATAGGATACTTTTTCTTTTCCCACCTCCCTTCCATTTGTCCACCTTTTTACTTTCTATTTAAAATTTGACAAAATTCTATTTAAAATTTGATGATTTCTCCTTTAACTTTATGTCCTTTTTTTTATTACACATATATAGAAAAGAGAAAAAAATTGAATCCCCCCAGTTTAACTGAAAGCAAAGAATCGACAACAAAAGACAATGATGAGTAAGTTTGTTATTTTTGAAATTACGTATGTGTATTCTGCAGGAAGATGCTCATATTTGTTAAAGTGACCATTTAAAAGAATTTATTTGTAGAAATTAATAGTTTATACCTGACCTGAAATATTCTCTCTTAAATAAGTAAAATACCTTAGTTGTAATGTGGTTTGTGATATTCTATAATGGTTATATATGATGCCTTAATTTTAATACTCATTGAGCCCAGTTCTCCCAGCATATGCATAATAGAACAGCTCAGGGTAAAATAGAGTAAGACATTTACTTCAGATTTACATGGATGGAGAAGTAATATGTGGTTTAGGAACAAAGTGTCTAACAAATAGCTGGTTCAGGATGGAACTAGAAACAGTGAAGCCAGCAGAGAGAGATCTAGAGGAACCTGGAAGGCCTACAGGCCAGCAACCAATCATTTTCATATTGTCCTGTCGGTGGTTCCTTTGAATGAAGACATTATCTGCAGAAAGCTACTGTCTACGTAGGAAAAGCCTGGAAAGAATACAGATGGCTCTCCATATGTGTGTATTACACATTTGTGGATTCAACCAATGACAGATTGAAAATATTTTGAGAAAAAAACGAATGGTTGCATCTGTACTGAACATATACAGACTTTTTTTCTTGTTATTATTTCCTAAACCAATACAGTATAACAACTATTTATGTAGCATTTACATTGTGTTAGGTATTATAAGTAATCTAGAGATGATTAAAGTATATGGGAGGATGTGCATAGGTTATATGCAAATGCACCATTTTATATAGGAGACTTGAGCCTCTATGGATTTTGGTATCTGCAGAAGTCCTGGAACCAATTCTCCACAGATACTGAGGGACAACTGTATTTGTATCGTCTTCCTAGAAGGATTGAATTAAGCAGAATGGGGGTTAAATTTTCAAAGTAGTGCATATGTTTAGCTCATTTACCATTTCAGTGTATCTTCTATCTACCACACCAGTGGACACTAAAGAGTAAAGATAAGGAAAATGAAGTTTCTCCCCATTGGGAGCTTATGGGGTTTTTTTGGTTGTTTTTGTTTCTGTTTTTTTGCCCTGAGACAGGGTCTCACTCTGTTGCCCAGGCTGGAGCACAATGGTGTGATCGCCATTCAGTGCAGCCTCAACCTCCTGGGTTCAAGCAGTCCTCCCACCTTAGCCTCCTGCGTAGCTGAGACTACAGGTCCACACCACCACGCCCTACTAATTTTTGTGTATTTTTGCAGAGACAGGGTTTCGCCATGTTACCCAAGCTAGTATCAAACCCCTGGGCTCAAGCAGTCCACTCACCCAGGCCTCCCAAAATTCTGGGATTACAGGTGTGAGATTCTGCTTGCAGCCTGGGAGCTTATGATCTTATGCTGTAAGTTAATATACCTTCCTCAATTTAGAAATGGGTTATGTTTACAAATGTTTTTGGAGTCATATACATGGAACTCAGAATGCATTTTCCATGCAAATAGTGTTATAATCTGTGGTTACAGCCCTGAGTCAGGGCACAGATCTATTTATTTCGTGATATAGCTGAACTATAGTTTTGGTAGTAGTCCAGATTAAAAGATGTGGAAACTGAGTGCCATTTAAAATACTTTAGGGACAAAGAGAAGAGTTTTTCAAAGAATCCTCATTGTTTGGCATCTCCTACATCTGTCCATTATTTGCTTTTAGTAGCTGTTTTCCCTTGACATACTGCTCCTCCAGCTCCAAATATTTGCATGTTTCAGTCTTTTCTGCCCCACAAATATTTTTGTTGTAAATTATTTCTTCCTACTCCTAATCAAAGCTTTTGTTTCCTCAGTGAACTGATCTCAACTGGATATTAACAGGAAAGCATTCTTTTTTGTTTAACTTATTTAATGTTTTTTAACATAGGAAATATATGTACACAGGAAAAAGTTCAAACTATACAAAAGGATATACAGTGAAAGCAAGTAGCAAGTAAAAATTTATAAATCACAGATAATCTTGTATTTGAAAGCAGGTGCCTGCTAAACTGAATTAATTTCTGATGCAGTTACATAAAGTGTAAATAGGCAGCAAAGGAGGAAATGTTTTTGGACAAAAGTGATACCAGATAATCAAGCCTGTTGTTTTTCTCCCCGAATCAGCTCCACTTAATAGTGTCTTTCCTTCTTTCTTCTTGTAAACCCATCAATTTCTTTAGAGCTCAGACTTTTAAAACAATAGCTCCCATGGCAGTGGGCTTCAAGGAGCAAGGGAAGAACAAGAACCATTGTTATGAGTCACATAGGAATTTGCCTATGTTTATTTAATTTATTAATTTATCTCCATATTTGTTTCTAAAGATCTCTGTTATTTAAGTATATCACTCCATGAATTGGTGTTATAATTAGTGAATTTAAGTATGAGCTGAGACATTTTACAACATATAAAAATAACGGGCCAGGTGTGGTGGCTCACACCTGTAATCCCAGCACTTTGGGAGGCCAAGGCGGGCAGATCACTTTAGGCTGGGAGTTCTCCCTGTCTCTACTAAAAATACAAAAATTAGCTGGGCGTGCTGGCGGGCGCCTGTGGTCCCAGCTACACAGGAGGCTGAAGCAGGAGAATCACTTGAACCCGGGTTGGGAGGTTGCAGTGAGTTGATATCGTGCCACGGTACTACAGCCTGGGTGACAGAGCAAGACTCTGTCTCAAAAAAAAAAAAAAAAAATTCTGTCAGGAGACTGAGGAAAGAAAATTGCTTGAGGCCAGGGGTTCAGGGCTGTAGTACACTATGATCCCTCCTGTAAATAGCCACTGCATGCCAGCCTGGGTGACACAGTGAGACCCTGTCTCTTAAAAAAAAAAAAAGAAAGAAAATGATACTTTTTTTTTTTTTTTGAGACAGAGTCTCGTTGTGTCGCCCAGGCTGGAGTGCAATGATCCAATCTCGGCTCGCTGCAACCTCTGCCTCCTGGGCTCAAGCTATTATCCTGCCTCAGCCTCCCTAGTAGCTGGGTGTGGTACATGCCTGTAGTCCCAGCTACTCGGGAGGCTGAGGTGGGAGGATCACTGGGGCCCAGGAGGTCAAGGCTACAGTAAGTGATGATCATACGAATGCACTCTAGCCTGGGTGACAGAGCGAGACCCTGTCTCAAAAAAAGAAAAAAATAACCCTAGAAAATAACTATAATTTAGAAAGCAAGATGCTTTTTAAATACATTCTTAGCCAATTAGAACAAATAATCTATTTCTATGAGAACACTAAATGTTAATGATTATAAACTACAAAACAAGTTTCTAAATAAATTTTCTTATTTCCAAAAGCTAGTGAATAGTCAATATCCATCACTGGCCTGTAATCCCAGGACTCTGGGAGGCCAAGGAGGGAGGATCACTGGAGGCAAGGAGTTAAGAGACCAGCCTGGGCAACAAAATGAGACCCCATCTCTACAAAAAATAAAAAAATTAGCCAAGCATGGTAGTGTGCACCTGTGGACCCAGCTACATAGGAGGTTGAGTTAGGAGAATCATTTGAGCCCAGGAGGTAGAGGCTGACCTCTGCAGGCCGAAAGAGCCATGGCTTTGGAAGGGCCATAAGTTCCACCACATTCTCGGTGGTTCTCACCCTGCAGCTTGGAGAAGGTGCAATACTCTCCATTACCACTAATATAAATAATGTTTGTAAAATTCTTACCTAATAAAAAATTTAGGACAGGCACATGTCTGCTTACAGGTAAGGTATTTTTTGTCTGTTAAAACTAGTCTGTAGCTTGTTTCATGAATGCTTTGTCAAATTATGAAAGTTAAAGTGCAGTGATATTTGAAGACTGTAAGTGATGGTGTATCTTGTTTCTAATAAGATAAACCTTTTTGCCTTTGTTTTATCTTATTAGGGAGTTATATGTCAGTGTTTGAAACATGCTGTGTGGTATAATAGGTTTAAAATAAATTCTTTAAAAGAGGAATACTGAAACTAGCCTTGTAGATTTGTCTGGTGCACGTGATGAAACCTACAGCTTTATTTGGGGTTGGTGGCAATGCCCTGCTGGCTAACTTTCAGGTGACTGGGTTTTTTAAGTTTGGCAAGTAGAAACTTCTAAAATTGGATTTTCCTTTGGAAATGTGTAGGGTCGGGGGAGGATGTCCTAACCCTATGTTGCGATCCTATGTAGAAAAATATGGGCTTAAATAGAGCCCGCATTTTTCATTTTAATCCAGTGTTCCACATGTGTGACTGCTGTTTCTGAAAGAAGTTTCCAAAATGTCACCATTTCTCAGAACTGAATAAATGTATTGCCAAGAGGCTTTTCTTAGGAATGAAACGTATCTGGGTAAATCTAAACAAAATTGCCTCTGTCTTCACAGTACCAAAGTTCACATAAAAGGTGAAAGCTCCTTTACATATTAAAATATGTATCTGTAACACTAATTTGTTACCATTATGAATTCTTTCAGCTCCATTTTAGGAAAAAGTAGTTGGCTATTTAGAAGTATGTATGTCATTGTTAGTCTACAGATAAAAACATCCTGGGTCAGCCCACTCTGTCCACTACCATAGGCTACAAAGAAAAGTCATCATTGCTGTCAATACAAGTTGATGGTTTCCAATCTTAAAAAAAATTTTTTAATTAAAATAAATTTTTAAAAAGTTAAATGCAATAAAACAAATTTGACTAGAAACATGACTCAAATTATTTTTACAAATACATAGTTTTGTTTATTGAAACCAAAATCTTGAGACCCTTAAAAACACAAAATTTATGAAGTAGAGTTCTTAAATTTATGAAGTAGAAAACAAGCTTAAGAACTGCAAACAAAATTTCTCACTGGGCTGGGCGTGGTGAGTCACACCTATAATCCCAGCACTTTGGGAGGTCAAGGCAAGCAGATCACTTGAGTTCAGAAGTTCAAGTCTGAGCAATATAGGGAGATCCCATCTCTACAAAAAAATTTTTTTTTAATTAGCAGGCCTGGGTGGTGCACGCTTGTAGTCCCAGCTACTCAGGAAGCTGAGATGGGAGGATCACTCTAGCGCTGCAGATT